CCACCTTGTAGATATCCATCAGCTTTCAAAGAGCGTGAAAGTGCTGGACGATTGTTCTTTACGAAGTTAAGAAGAATGCCATCGGGTGAAACTGCCGAGCAGCGTCAGAGATACCGCAGACAATGAGTGGGTATCCACACGCTTAAACGTCGCGTCTATATGAAAGACAGATGTGTCGGGATCGCTTTGAGTAATAATTTCATCGTGACTTCTATCACCAATGGTTCGTCGTCACTTCCGTCTCCAATATCCGGAGCCCCGTCCTCGTCTAGTGGGTACCCGAACGTGAAAAAATGGCGTAGTATCAGGTAGATCACCAGAGAATTGTGATTTAGTAGTAATCTCCTCCATGTCCGCTACGACGTCGGTGTTCTTCATTTTGCTTCGTCTGTAGTTGTAGACAAATTTTGGATCTGCTTTAAAGCAGGCACTGCTCCGGTCGATAGCATGAAGCTATCAACCAGCTCATTGCGGATGCGAGCGAGCTTTACGTCCTTTGCCACTAGCTCGCGGATAGCCACCTTCATCTCAAGAGAGCGTTGCGGCCGCAGGTCAGGAGCGCTGCCGGCAAAGTGGTCATCGTGCTGATAAAGATGGCTCTGCTTCGTTCTCTCGCAGGTCAAGGTCTTCAGCTTAAACTTGCACGAGGTAAGTGCACTCAAGCAGGGCTCGGACTTGCAGCAGTAGATACGGCAGCGCATATAATGCTGAACGAGGTTGCTACTACACACAGTACAGTGCTTGGCAGGGCGTCCAGTTTTCGATTGGTGCGCGACTCGTCACGTAGACTGTCTGTAAAGCGCCAATTGTAGGGGGATTGCATGGTGGTGATGTTGACTTGGCTTTTATTTCTGGTTTCTAGAACTGAGCTCGAGACGCTGAGCCTGCACGAGGCATCAGAGCCACTAAAACAGACCAGGGGAACGGAAACGATTGTCCATTTTATCCTAGGGGTGTGTTTACAATCAAAACCACAAGACATTAGGACAAATCTCGTACTGATTGGTCAAACGTTAGTTGGGCAGTGGATACATCAGCATCGGATACAGAATAAAGTCTTTTTGGTTCAAAAATAAAGCTCTCCCAGTAAGTAATGAAAACGCTGCACCGTCGAATGCTTCAAACTGACAGATCTGGGGTGTATCATTCCTTGGCAGAAAATCATCCTCATCGAATATAAGCATCATTATCTATTGCCGCTTTGGTGGTACTGGTTATTGCAGGCAAAGCCCCTTACCGCGAGGGGTCGCGCTGCTGGGTCGGTTGTACCCC